CCAGCCAAAGTAAAAACCACTCCTTTGGGGGGGGAATTTTTCGGCCCAAATAATTTGGGTTAAAAAAAGAAAAAAAAAAAAAAAAAAAAAAAAATGGAAAACTTGCAGTGGAAAATCACCAAAAGACAAACAACAGAATCCCAAAGTCTGCACGTGTTTAAAAAAACAAAAAAACAAAAAAAGGTTTTATACATAGAACACTGTATGAAATGTCAGCCAAAAATAGAAGTCTCAGAAACTATACAGACAAAACTGACAATAAAAATGCATTTTTTTCTCTGTGAACACAAGATTAATAAAAGCTAAACAATCAAGTCATTATAAACAGATTTTAAGCTTTAAATTATCTTCATATACATCTTAATTTGAACATGACCAAGGCTATAGGAAGAAATTACCACAAAAGAAAGCATCACATGACTTGTGTGAAACTGACAACTGCTTTGTTTTCAGTGCAAAAAGCTTCTACCAAAACAGAAAAAAAAATAATAATAATAATCCAAAATGTCATAATGAAACACTAACATGATAAACATTCAGCACCATACCAAGCATTCATAACCCAGGCATCGAAATCTTGTACAGTGAAAAGTAAACCTAAACCACTTCATTATCTTTTTTTTCATCTCTTTGTACAGACTTCTCCAAGAGTTTTGAACTTTGGCCCAAGTGTGTTCAAAAAGTCAAGATTTTCCTTGTCGCCGTATTCACTGCAGCATCCCACGGAGCCATGGACAGACTCATTCCCCTCATAGTCATAGGAGTGCATGATATCACCTGCGTAGCGTTCGTCCCTCTCTCCTCCCATCAGGGCCAGTTTCTGTAAGATCAAAGTAGTAGGGAGAGGGAGAGATAGTGTGTTACTGTGTGTGGACTAAGCCTGGATGATAAGAGGTACCATATTACACAAAGTGATAAAACAAGACAGCCCTCAGGATATGACTGGCAGTCTGATATTACAACCAACAAGCTGCAGAAACATTATTTTTTTTCACAGAAAAAAATATTAAAGTTCACCGAGGAGACCATCACAGCTTACAGAACAAAATTATATTACAAATGGGAGTTTCTTTAGCTCCTACAGCTAACGCTAGATTTATTATATTTTACAGAGTAAAAGCTTTATGTTCACCTCGAGTTTAACTCCTGAAAAAAAAGACCTAATTTACACTCCTACATAAATTTAAAAAAACATCAAAAAATGACTTTGCATGGTTTATTTTTTATTTTTTTCTCCCCAAGTCTCACCTGTTTCAGATAAAGGTCATGTGTCTTCCAAGTACGAGCTAGATTATTGTCCATAGTGTATTGATCATAATCCATGCCATTCATGTTGAGACGTTGACTCCCCATGGTGTCAAAATGCTGACCGTAATGATCAAACTTCCTCGAGGACATACTATGAGTATTCATTGCATTAAGGCCGATGGACTGTTGGTATCCATTTTCATGCACGCTATGGCCTCCAATCGTGCTTGTGCTTTTGTTTCCCAGCCATCCAGTGTTCACTACAGAGCCCTTCATTGAATCTTTTACTCCCTGCTCTAATGAAGTGCTATGAAAAGCGAAGGAATCCTGAAGAGCAAAGCATAGCAAACCATGAGTTAATAAATCATGCAAAGCTAAATGAATAATTTAAGGTAGCAGTGGGTTTTCTAATTCCCAACATGGTGGCAAAAGGCTTACCACTTCATCGCCAGGGGCCTCTGTGTTCGATGGAATGAGGATTCCTTTACTGTATTCTCCGTCGCCAAGTGGAATCTTCTCTGGCTTTGTAGTGCAAGTGGAGAGCAACAGTAAACCTGTAATGTTACAGAAAACAGAAGAAATCTTTAGGATGCTGGAAGGCTTAGCACTTGCCAGACACGTCAACTTTAGCTCTTGTAAGCTTAAGCATTCAATTTAGCAAATACTTGAAATGGTTCAAGTTATCTGAAGTGCTACAGAAAAACTGCTGAAATTACACCTGGAACAGATCATTGCTATTGTTATTTTATGCTTTTGCACTCAATCTGCTTTTAAAAAGGCAGGTGCTGGAAACTGTGGCATGACGTTGGACGGCTCAGACACAGTAGGAATGTTTACAAATTAGAACTAGAGAGGCTACGGCTACAGTTAGCCAAGTGCTAACGGTGCTGCTAATACAAGTTATTAAAATGTCCCCATGCTTTGTTTTTAACATTGTTTCATCGTGTAAACCTTTCCTATATTAAGCTGTTGACGAGAACTTTAAGTTTGTCAAAAACACACATTTTATAGGCTCTGCTCATAATTTATGAATTACCAAAACATGCTAAATTAAATAGCTACAGTTTGATTTTGTTGTACATCTCTAACCATTTTCAAATATTTACAGGATTGACAATGGCAGCGCTTTTGAAACTACTGGTACGTTCTGAAGTCCATTTTGCCACTCCTCGTCTCGACAAGGAGTGGCAAAATGGAGTTAGCAGCTCAGCATGTTGATATCAGCATAAAAGGTTGATTTATCAGAAGGTTTGTGCACCATTATTAATCATAGAAATACAAGTATGATGAAAGATATGTGCACAAAAGCTATGTACAGTAGTAGCTTTTGCTTTTAGCAAACAGCGGCTGAGTGGTTTATTCACATTCACTTCTATGGTAACAGGAAAAACTATTCTAGATAAGAAAATATCTGATGTGCAGATATTTCTCAGTCAAACATCCATGGAAACATGCTAAAAGTACATTAGTTAACACTAGGGGTGTTTGACATAAAATAAATAAATAAAAGAATACACTGCAACATTTTCTATATGTCATGGCAACAGCAATTAGTTTGCGACCTCATGTGAAACTAACATCACTAACAGAAGGCAAAGTAGGTTCAATGTTGTTTTGTAGGTGGTTTATCAAAGACTACACATCCACCTATATCTTTCTGTTTTTTTTGTTTTTGTTTTTTTTAGGAAAGTGTTATTGCAAAGTGAGGGAAGTAGTCATTAATACAAGTTCCAAAATAAAAAAAATTTAAAAAAAACAAAAAAAAAAAAAAAAAAAAAAAAAAATACATAAATCACACAGCATTAGCTGGAGCTGAAACAATCCAACTTTAACTATGACTTGTCAGTTTGTTTTAAAACCACAGAGAAAGGACACTTAAATTGGATCTGGTGACAGCATGCAATTTGTGAAATGGCATCAGAGAAGGTTAGTTCATGTGCTTTTCCAGATCTTGTAAATCTTTGAAATTTATCCTAACGGACTCATGGCTCAACTAATCAGGCAGACTGACAGATAGAAGGCTGCAAAACATATTGTGAACATACCACACATTTCTCTATGTGGTAAAGGTCACAGAGTGTAAATGAGGAAAAAAAAAGAAGGAAAAAAAATATGCATATATCGCAGCTGATATTATTGCAATATTATTACTACTGGAAGATTTTCAAATATTATGCACCTCGAGACACCCAGTAACTAAAATCTTTTATAGGTGCCTCAACAAGAGAGTAAGCAAAGATGCTGTTCTCCCATTTTTTTTGTTTTTACTTTTATGTGATCTCTTCAACGGCACAGTTTAACTGAATACTTTCAAATGAATATGTTCAACATAGCTATATCAAGTTAAACCACTAGCTGCTAGTTAAACTGACTCGCTGCTAACCTCCCACAGATCTATACTTCGCAATATCAGGTAATTGATCTCTTGCAGATGTTCACTTTACGGAATCCCACGCTAAATTTTAATGAGCCATTCAACTACATCATTCTTTGGATTTTTTTATCATCACCACAGAGGAAGTCCGCACTGATCTACTAGTAACATAATAGTAAAGGACTCACAGAGCAGCAGAAGGAGGAACAGGGGCAGCAACAAGGTCAGGATTCCCAGTGGTCCCAATTCGATAGAGCGACCTCTTTTTATGCATGCGCCGTTCGTGCATTGGCAGATCCTCACTGTCGTAGTCTGAGTACCACCATTTCCCTGCATATCTTTGGCGATGAAGGAGACCTTGTGAAGCCCTAGAGGAAGTTCTTGCTTTTGCTTCAGCAAAGCCGCCGTTCCTTGAGAGGAAACAAAATTAAAAACAGAAACTTTTTTAGAAGCTTTTATATTGCCATAAATGTAAAAACAGCCCCTCATACCTCTTCATGGGTTACAAATTTAACCCATGTGAAGCAATGTACGAGCCATCTCTAGCTTCAATGTCTAACTTGGGAGTAGTAATAGTTTTTGAATGTTTTTAGAGCGCTAAAATGTCACATGCTCTCGGCCTTTTTATATGTTTCTGGTGTATTTCAGAAGCTACATCGCACATATTTTCAGTCATTTGTATGGATAAAGACATTTCATACAGGTCTCTTGTTAATGAGAAGCTTTTAAGCATAGGGAGTAAGAAAAAAAAAAAAAAAACGGTTTCCATGTGGACAAGGCTTAAAAACCTTCAAAGTGTAATTATGTTTTTAGTGCTTAAAAACCCTGTAAAATTCTGCCCTAACTAATTAGCAGACTTCCTTAAAATTAGTTTTTAACCTGATGAAACTTTGTCTACTACCGCATGAAGAATTATGAAACCTTAGATAATGTCCATATCAGTGCTATGTTAATGAGCACGTATGCAGCACAAACATCTGCTGTTCTGACTCTATTGAAACACACAGCGTTAGTACCAACCATTGTATGAAGACACTTCCCAATTTCCATCATGTTTTGCTGGCATGGAATAGGTGAAGGGGCTGGAAAATGGACTGGCGTCATTGTCTTCAGCCACAACCACCAGGGAATTCAGGCTGCCATCTTGTTTTTTACACAACGTCAGTTCCTTTGGAATTGTTGGCTTGTTGTCATTTTCATCCTCTATCACAAGGACTACGGTTCCTATTCCTGATTTGGAGGCTGAAATTCCAAAGTATTCCATTAGTTATCAGATGGAAAAAAAAAGAAAAAAAACATGAACATGTCTGCACAAAAACCCTTACGTCATACATGAGATCTCTTTTCTTTTCCCCCTATCTTTATGATGCCAATGAAACTGATGACAACTTTCACCGGTAAAGACGTACCGGTCAGATCAGGCAAGATCGTCTGAGTCATTCACCAAGAATAGACAGACTTTATATTCAACAGATGTTTTCAGGTACAACAAAGATGGTATGTTCAGACAAGTAGAAAGGTGTGGCTTTAATCCTAAGCAGTAATTTGTCTGATCCGGATCAATCATCAAAACGGAGTCAGAAGGAAAAAGGAAGAAGGAAGAACAACCTGTACAATGTGAGTATAACAAGCTATCTTCAAAACCACCAAATGCGTTTGGGTTTTGGCAAATATCCATCATTAATTCTTTCACACACTATTTATAATAACTTCAGTAGGGATTATTTTCTAAGCTGTTTTAAGGAATAAAATGTTTTTTGTTTGTTTTTGTTCTTTGGTGGGAGCTGGAGTTCAAATATATACTTTAAAATTTAATTTTTTTTTTTTTTTTCCTCACACTGCTTTCTACATGGTGAACAACAACTTACTGGCATCAACAGCCTTCACGGTGATGTTGTAAGTCCCATCCTGGACAAGAGGGGACTCTCTGTCAATGGTGTTCGTAACTGTCAGCTCTCCAGTATTGCTGTTCACTCCAACCCATGATCCTGGATCAGACACCTTGTAATACCTGGAAAATAATACAGAGCATGCATCACTGGTCCACATCACCTGTCGAGGTCTGAACTCTGTTGTTCAAGAGACCAACATTTTAGGGAACCCTTATAAATTTGTAATCAGGTCAATCCACTTAAACCTTATTTAAAATAATTAATAAAAATGCTTACAATATGCCAACGCTGCTGTTGGTCTCTGGATCAATAGCTTTGTACATCCCAATCACTGTGCCATTTGGTAAGTTCTCTTGGACAACGTAGCGAACAGTAGGAGGAAGGAATTCCGGACCTTCGTCAACGTCGGTGACAGCAACCTCCACAGGGACGGACATCCATTCGGCACTGGCTCCAACCAGCTTTTCTTGATTCTGGGCCGAAATCTCAAGCATTACTTTCTTGGTCGTCTCATAATTTAAGGGCTGGAAAATGGAGAGAGGCATAAGAAGAAAATGAAAAGCTAGAAATAAAAACTGATTTCCTGTGAAAAATATGAAAAAAAATTGTATTAGTGCTAAGAAATTCATAAGTTTGACATCAAACTCACCTTTGCAACATAAAGAAGCCCCTCATTTGTTTTGGGATCAGTGGCAATTCTGAAATTTCCATTTTCATTTCCTTTCGTGATGACAAATTTGGAAATCCAGTTGGGTGTGTCTTTTAAATCTTTGTCATTCACAGGAATTCTCAGGATTAGTTTGTCACTCTCGTTCTCTGGAACTGTAGTTTTATACTGCAGGAAAAAAAAACATATGTTTTATTTGAATTAGACATGAGTTGGCTACTGGTACTCAGGTAAAGCAAGGTTTTCAAAAAAATACACAAGGCTACCAAAACAACTATTTTCTGTCATGCACACTGCATGGCAGGGGGCAATAGTAAGGCCTGGATACTTTGTCCTTGCATACAAAACTGATAAATACGGCTGTTCAGGAGAGGTTCATCCAATATATTTGGTTAGAATTCTATATATCAAAACATCAAGCATAATTGCAATTTGTTTATACTTTAGTAGTAGTATGAATAATCATTTTTCTGTTTCAAATACAATCCAGCAGCAGATGTTTGTCTTAAAGGATTTTTTTTTTTGTGCAACATTAAATTGTGATGTTTTCACTCAACATTATCATGTTTTGAAAATAATAGCAGTCTATTGCTGGACTGGATCTTTCATTCATTTATTTGTTCAACGATTTATCTACTATTATTATTGTGTTTATTTAGGTTCTAAGTACTTACTGAACTTTGGGTGAAAGTTGGTGGGTTGTCGTTGATGTCTTTCAAGGTGATTGTTGCGGTGGCAGTGCTAGAAAGACACCTGTGTCCACCCTTCAAATCTCTGAGCTCTATGGTAACCATGTGCGTTTCTTTTGTCTTAAAATAAAACATAAAAAAAAAAGGTCACGTGGTGAAATGGGAGATGAATTTAAACTAGCACGTTGGATTTGAGGAAACAAAATCAAACAGCTTCAATGAGACGGCAGGACTCACCTCTCGGTCCAACTTCTTAGAGATTGTGGTGATGACACCTGTATCTGCGTGGATGTGAAAAAAATCCAACCCATCAAGGAGCCTGTATCTGATCCTCACATGGTCTGTTTCGGGATCATCTTTGTCTGTTGCATTCACTTTCCCCACCACCTCAGCTATGGTGGATAAGATGTTTAGTCAGAGGATGTTTACAGAGCAGGTTTCATATGCCATGACCACTGGGTGTTTGCTTCTCCTTACCTAAGCTTTGCTCAAGCACAGTAAACTCAAGATTGCCAAGGAACTCTGGCGCATTATCATTTACATCGTCCACTTTTACTACAATGTCCAAAGGTAAATCTCTTGGCTGATGGGATACTTTGTCCAAAGCATTAATCGTTAGCTGTAAACATACACATATTTAAGCATGATCAAATATTAATATGCCAAAAAAGAACTGATAGTTGAACTAATATTTAGCATCATAATAGCAAAGAAAAATGCCTTAAGCAAAACAAGGTTCTGTTGTCACAAAAAATAATAAAGGCTGAGATTTAAGATACTGCATTTTTACTGTACATCTGTTTATGGTTTAATAGAGAATATGTTTTCTCATATAATATTAGAAATATATGAGATTGCTCCAATTTGAGACTTTTAAGTGTCTATGAAACTTCTAAGTGCATTTTCTTGCACTTAGAAGATGTTTAGTCAGATGTTACATTATCATTTTTCAGAAATCAGAAGAACAAGCTAATTTGATTTTTTATGTTGCATTGTACAAATGTATTTAATTTAAAATAAACTAATAAATTCATCATTGGAATAATAAAAAAAATGGAAGAACTAGTTTTAGTTTTAAAAAAATGTATTTCAGAGATAGAATATAAAATCAAGTAAATAAGGCAGGTTGAGATCAAATGATAAAGGTGAGAAGTGGACTATCTATAAAAACCTACTGTATACTGTGCAATCATTTCTCGATCCAGTGTCTTGTACACGTACAGAGTCCCCTTTTCACTGTCAAGAGTAAAAATGCCAACTGGGTCCATGTTCACACCACGTCCTGTAATGGTGTAGTACACGTCGTGTTGGACTTCTGAATCTGAAACAATCTATAATAGAGAAAAGAATTAGATATCTTAAAATAACAACAACTTTACAAGAACGTTTATTATATCTAACTTGCCTGTGTTCACACAGCTAGCATTGCAATTGATTGTAAAATAAGATTGCATACAACAAGAACTGCACAATACTAGGAAAATATGAGATTGTTCAGTTTTATAATGATTGACCCACATTTTCCTGCTCCATCTTTCTGTATCACATATCCTTAGAAAAATATTAGAATTATAGAATACAGTGACAATATGATTGTTTTTTTTTGGGGGGGGGGGGCAAGAGGGGATTACTGGTTTTCGCAGTTGATTCGATGGTAATGTCAATAAATTCTGAAATCTGACCGAATGTAATCATTGTGAACTGTTTAGCAGCAAAGCTACATTTCTGAATGCAAGCTGAAGCTTGTTTCCTAATAGCTGCATTTTATATTTAAAATATGATTTGTTGTTTGTTGGACTGTTTGCTATTACACATTTACATCCAAAATCCTGTGCTAATTGTCTAAATGTCTTTAAAAAAATAAAATAAAATAAAAAAAAATCACTACTCATTTATCATGAGTAATAATAATGAAAAAAAAAAAAATAAAAATACATTGAACATACCGTTTCCAAGAATTTCGGGAAAGGTCCTGCGTCATTCTCCAGTATGTTGATGGGGGGAGGACTCCAGCGTCTCTTTGTGCGCTTCAAAATTACTTGACCATTTTCCTGTAATGTAAATAAATTATTATTATTATTATTATTATTATTATTATTATTATTATTATTATTATTATATTTTTTTAAGCATTTGCAACTTTCTTACATTTATTTCCTGCTTTGTACTGCAGACAAGGTGAACTTCCATCTCACTTCCCGGCCCACTATTGTCCTGAGCCCTCACAGAAAATGTCCGCCCTCTGGTTGCCACAGAGACAGGACTTAGTGCTACTATTACCCCATTGCTTTGTATCGTAAAGCTAGGGTCCTCCACAGTGAAACGAAGTGTCTTGGGGTCACAGCCAACAGCTTCAACTAAAAAATAAATAAATATATAAGATGTCGGAAGAGAAGAAAGTTTCTCTCTCTCTCGTTCTCTCTCTTTTTCTTTTCAAAAACTAAGCCAAATCAATGCATTATTTAAAGCATAATACGTAGTTATTATTATAGACAGACTGCATAGAGGTACCTTTTGTGACCTGGTATCCAACTGGAATGGTTTGTGGCGAAACGACGTGGAGAGAGTCAGGAATATAACATGACTCCACAAAGGAAAGGACCTGAGGAGGAAAGCAAGTCGACCTTTTTTAAGTTACAGCAGTCAGTCTCCTTAAACTAAAACGAGTTACCCGCACTTATCCATGCGTCGCCTTTCAGAAAACAATCTTGACAAGCACTTAAATTAAGTGACGGTACGAATAAAACACTCTGAAAAACACTTACCAGCAGCGACAAGACAGGATAAACGAGAACCGTTGTCATTTTAGAGTAAAGGCAGTCGGACTTTGTCCCGGAGCGACTCAAGAAAAGTCCACCTGGAGTTGCTCTCTTGCTCAAATAATGACAGACTTTCCAAAATCTCGCTATTAGTTGATTTGTCACCCGTCCCTTTCTCCGATTTGTTCGAGTGTACGTGGGCGGACTGTTACGTTCTGCTCCGTTCCAGCTACTAATGGCACACACTCACACAGTCACACCTAGCGGGACACGCCCTGGACTGGAAGATATCTCAGAGGATCACCTTAGGGTGGTGTATTGTTGAGTCCAGGGTAGGGCATAGCTTCCTTTTTTTTTGCAACTAACTTACTTCCTGGCATTTCTTGCATTTATTTCTTGCCAGCAGGGGGAAACATTGTCCAAGTTTTGAATGAACTGAAGCCCCCCTTACTGCAACTAAAACTCTCAATGTAATAGTGAAGTCGAGCAGGTGATTGTTGAAGTCAGATAGCTACACTAAAGAATTTTGATATTTGATTATATGTATTCACTTTCAACGGAGGATATATAAAAAGTGTAAATAGCTGTGTTCCTCTCATAAGCCACAGAGAATGCAAGTCTATTCAACTTTAGAAGACCTCTCCCTGGTGTGTACACAGCTTGACCCCTACTGACTCCTCCTCCTCTGTAGCCTCACTCAAACTTTCTGGCAAGAGGGATCGGTGCTGGGCTCCTTATTTAACACCACAGGAATGTGAGGTTGAATGGAGTCTGTCATAAGGGAGGATGTTTTCCCACCATGGAACACTCACTATCTCTGTAAACTACTGATAAAACTAAGGGGCCAGTGGCAATTATATGAAGAGAAAATCCCCAGGGAATTCAGCATACGGGGTCGAGCTTGTTTAGAAATGCCTGGGCAGTTGAGGAGGTGGGGGGCTAGAACAGGAAAGGTGAGAAAAATGTCAGGAAGACAGCCTTCTGTGCGTCATGGGTGTGGACATAATGAAAGGAGATGTAGCTGCAAGTCTGGTGAAAACGCGAACAAAAAAAAAAACACTGAGCAAATGATCTTTTCTGTAGTTTGCCGCAGGCTAAAGTGAAAGTTTTTACTATTTTCAGTTTTCTTCTTGTTTAGAAAGTGAGCACTCTTCTGTTTATGTGTCTTTCAGTTCTTTTTTTCTTGCAGCTGAACCACTCATGGAGGAATAAAAACAAAACAAAACAAACAAAAAAAAACACCAACAAAAGAAAAGTTAAAGCACGTTTCTTTTAAATTCTTTAGGTGTCCCAACTTTTGTTGACTTTGAAGAAAGTGAACAGTGAGTCAGTTGTCTGGACAGACTCCGAATCACACAGCATGACTAAATGGTAACACACCTGGCCAGGAATTGTTCTTGCTGTTTCGGTGTGTGTGTGTGTCAGCGTTTGCGTCACACTATTTTCAATCACACGTTGATCTGACAGCAGACAGTGTGACACGAAAAGCTTGAAGGCAGACTGTTCTTAACTCCCTCTGTTATGAACAATAATTAATACGATGACAGTCTCTGACGATGACATCTGACATGTACCTTTTTCCTGGGTATACGCCCAGAAAAGAACACCACCCTATACACCTTGTTCTGACTTATCTGCTGTAAAGCTTTTGTGTCACGTTAGCTGAGGTTTGCCAGAGAATATTAGGGAGTAATCAAGATTGTGTAGGCCAAGTAACAGAGTAGACAGGTCTGGGTTGAAGGTGTGTCGATCTTTACTGTTTTATTGGGCTATGAAACAGTATTCCAAATTTTGAAAATGAAAAGAGTATTGTTTATTCCTTTATCTGAAAATTAAAAGAGTATTGCTCAACTACCAACGTGCAAAGATATGGCTATCCATTACAAATCTATCCTTTTACAGAAGAGTGTCAAGAAAAAAAAAACATCAACTTGTCAGATGAGACAAAAGCAGAACTTGATGGGATGCATGCTGATATGATAACAGTGAAGGGAAAGTCAACTCTGTGCATAGCCCTGAACACGGTACTGTCACCATGATGGCAGAATTATGATGTGGTTGTAACTAATGTGAAAATGGATAGAGTGAAATACAATACCGGCAGAAAATATTTCAGCAACTGCAAAAGTGAAAGAGGTTTCCTTTTCAGCAGGGTAAAAGCTCTGAACACGTGAGTGCCAAATTGTAATCATTTTTGATCAAAGCATATTCATGGTGAGAAAGGGCTAGTCAACATTTAGACCCATATCCAGCTGAGAAAGTATGGCAGTTCAAGAAAGACTATTTCTACAGATGCCCCCTTCGATCTGAATCAGTTGGAGCTATTTTGTAAAGAGGGAAAGCCATGTAGTTCAGTTTACAAATCTGTAGAGACAAACCAGAAACCAGATAAATCAAGTTGAATCAGCTGTCTTCATTGTCAATGTAAAGTGAAGCCCAATGGAATTTAGGCGCAAGATTTGTATACACACTGTGTACAGTGTGAAGTACAATAAGTGACTAAATACACAAAGACATTGTGTACATGTCTGCACAAACATGAACAAAATCAAATAGTGGAAATGTTGACTTACAGTAGGACATGCTCTGGAAGTTTTATCAAACTTTTTCCTCTTTCTAATACATATTTTGCTGCTGCAATTGGATTGAAAGGTGACCTGCAAATACACACACCACACTTTCCAGATTTCATTTGCAAAAAAAAAAAAAAAAAAAAAAAAAAAGGAAAAAAACAGGGATCTTTTTTCTGTCACTTCACAATTATGAGTTGCTCCATAAACGTTCAAAAACATGTATTAAAGTTTGTGGTCGTGACATGACGAAATACAAAAATGTCCATTAAGTATGAATACTTATTGAAGGAGCTACAGCATTCAAATCTTCATCAACTGTTTATGTACTACTTGAAGAATGTTTTGCAACAATCATAATAACATTCGTCAACTTTTGCAATCAGTTATTGCTCAGTACGTGGAGCACATGCCATGCCAGCCCAGGCCATACCTAAATTTGCGTTGCGTCTTGTACAGTTGCCCCACCTTGTTTTCATGTCAGTTAACTGGAGCTAAGGCTTCTGTAAAATCTGCATCCACAAACCAAAGTGGAGAATGATGGATCCATCTCAACCACAAAATCAAGTGGGCTTTTAAGGCAAACTAGTAACAGTTACTGAGAGTGCCTTCGGAATGCATTTCGCTTTGTTCAAAGCTTTTAGCATTGCAAAAAAAAAAAAAAAAAAAATAGTGGCTTGGTTACTTCCCTTAGCTTGAATGCCTTGAAACACACCCATTGCATATAATAGACTTGCTCAGCTGGATTATTGTAGCAATGTTAAATACCGTTTAATTAACATGTTCTAAAAGATACACCTTATTACTATCTAATACGTTTCTGTTGCGCACGTTTTTTGTAACTTTGTCACACACTGTGGCTCCACCAAAAATCACCATTCAACTAGAGATTAACTTGATTAAGAAGTACAATGAAAAACAACATTTTCTTAGTGACTAAAATGATTAATGTCTGAGGATTACACTGAAGCTACATGCTCAATTAAGCAAGATGAGACCGATATTGTAGTTCCCATCGCATACCTTTTATCATGGGCGGGTGTGTGTTTCAGCACTATGACCATTCTTAGTGAGTAGTTTCCCTCTTCTTTTTATAAATCTCATGTTTTACACTAAAATCAAGAACAGTACAGCTGCACAAGCTCAAACGTGCATATAGTTTGGTCTAGCGCTGCCAAAGTTCATGACTCAACAATCTGTGAATCTCAGATTTAGAATTTCATGAACTCTGGTGACATTTAACAGAGTAGTGAGAAAATGTTGGTCAAACACACTCTGTTCTCTTTTCTTTCTTTTTTTTCCCTTTTTTTTAATTTAGTCTCGCCATGATCTCATATTAAGTAAAAACTGAAAGGATGTAATTCTACTTTCATTATCACTAAATGAAATTTTACACCATTTGAGTAATGAGACTAATTTTAATCATGTACTTTAAAAAGATTTTCTAGAGAAGTTATGAATCCCTTCAGATTCTAGAGGACAATATTAAAACAATGTTCCATTGTCAAAGCAGAGCTAGTTAAATATTCCACAATACAAAAAAAAAGCTGTGTAATGCATTTTATCAACAGAGGATTCCAGGAACGGCCTAAAGTAACCCAAGGCCCTCTGCTGGCAAGTTTGCGAAATGAATCCGTTACACAGATGCTATGAAAACCTTCACTATTTGAAAGATATGTTGATAGAGTTACAGTATAAAAATAATTCATTCTACCACTTCTCAAATTTACCTAAATCTGTACCCACTTTAAGAAAGCTTAAATCAAGTTGTGTAAGTGGAAAGGATCAAGCATGGACAATTTCTTAAAGTTCCTTTTGGCTTAACTAGATGTCATTGGCGCAACTAAAGGGTGGACAACGGGGGGCAACAGCCACCCCTATAAATTTGCTCCCCCTCTTTCGCCAGACATTGTTACATGGATATTTTTGTGAAGACATTTCAGAGAGAAAAAAATGACATGCTTTGAAGGGGTGCAAATTTTATTTTTGTATTCCTTTTTTATTCTGTCCCTTATAGTGCATACACTATATTGTTTGCCCCTCCGCTCTCATTTCCGGTCTAGGCATCCAGGAGCAAATATTTTCGTCAAAAATGAGAAGGCTGAAAGTATTCATGAATGATTGGACAATGAGCTCTACAGATGGTTTTTGGTATCAAGGGTTTTGAAACTGTGAATTTATGGAACAAGAAATGAGTAATATAGAATACCGCTTATCAATTTCTCTCCAAAGAAATGTTCTGTTCTTCCGAGGAAACATATTTTATTAGTCAGACGAGTTGCAAAATGAGAAGAAAATATTGGCAAGATTACAAGGTGACTAGGTTAAAAAAAATATGATTTGTACTTGAAATAATAATTTTGTCCTTCAAACTTTGCTTTCATGAAATAATCCTTCATTTGCAAACATAACAGCCTTGGAGACCTTTGGAATTCTAGCTGTCAGTTTGTTGAAATAATTTGAGGTAATTTCACCCTGGTGCTTCCTGAAACATCTTGCACAAATTAGTGGCTCTAATGTGCTTATCCTATTGCTCAGTTGTGTACTAGCACCTATCACATCTCCCACTCTGGTAAGAGCCAGTTTCCGCTGTTCTTTGAAGGGAGGAGTACACACTGTTGTATGAGATCTTTAGAATTTCTCTCATGTAATAGCTTTCATTTCTCAGGACAAAATTGACTGATGAGTTTCAGTAGAATGTTCTTTTTTATCAGCTATTTTTAGGCTATAGTGAAACATACAAATGTAAATAATAAAGACAATTTTAGTTAGGCATTTTCAGAAATGATGACAATGAATGGTCATAAAAATGATCAAATCTCAGATCATTTTATTCGTACCCAGTGCTAAAATACATAATTCTTTTTTTTTTTTTTTTTGAAAACTCTTACAAAATATGACTCTGGACTAAATCTAAATTACTCTAAGTGACTCCTGTCTAATAGATAAGACTAGCCAGAGTTAAATATAGTTCCTAGGCAGTAATCCATAAGAATCCAGGAAATTATTTTAAATTGTCAAAGTGACTGTAAAAGATGCAGCTGGTGGATGCAAATTCATGCCTGGGTAGCACTACTCTATACTAAGAAAATTAAAATATAAAACAGGCATGCAAAGACAAAAGGTCAAAATGACCAGGAACTACTAAAAAATGAAATATGCCATATAAAAAAACTCATCCGTTCATCAGTCTATCTCCTATTCATTGTCCACACTGCTTATCCTTGCAAGGTTGCAGTTGTCAGAAGCAAAAAGCAAAAACAAAAACAAACAAAGAAAATATGGTTGAGTGTTCTAAATGTCAAAGTAGAAATGACAATAAATAAATAAATAAATGAATAGTGACCCAGTGACTAAATCAACTAAATTTTTTGACCTGGTGTTAAACAAGGGTGGTCATTTAACTTTGGGTTTTAGGTTTTATTTTACAACACTTTATTTTGAAGTCGCTTCTTTTTATTTCTTAAAATGGATTTTGTTATTTGTAGTCTTACAACGTAGAAATGAAAGCTCAAACCCCTTTTAAAGCTATGAGTAAAGTCTACTTACAGACATGAGCTAAATAAATCCTGACTAACTGAGAACAGCCAGGACATTTTAAAACGACTGAAAACCACAGAAACTGACATTTTATTTAGGGCTGTCCGTTTTTACGGTGTTTAATACGGACTGATGTAGCAACATTACGGGATACTTGTCAGCTTTCTGTGGCGTTTTACCGGAGGTAGAATGAAATACCAAAGCAAATGCGGGGATGTTTCAAACATTAACTCTTTAGGTCCACATGGCTGGGTCTGACAAGTCTTGACTCATTTTGTTACCTCGCCTAAAATTGTTTCCTCCCCTCTTCCCCACCTCAATTTTTCCATTACTGTAGAAAAGAAAAGTGCTATTAAGCTTTACACAACATTCTGGTATCACTTCTTATCCAGAGTGTTCTAAAGAAGGAGAAGACACGCCCAGAGCTGATATACAGCTCATTCCTCTTGCACCGGGTCAAAGTCTAACAGCAGCTAACAAAAGACTACACCGGATCTCAACTCCAGCGATCTCACTTCAAAACGAGGACCAAAAACAAACCAAAAAAAGAAAAGAAAAAAACTTCTTATTTTGCTAACAGATGGATTCCCTGCTCAGATGCAGCCTTTTCTTTCTGCTGATATACTTCCTCACTGTAAGTAACGGCATTTGTTCTGTTTTCTTTCCCTTCTCCAAATATGTCTTCGCAAAGTAATGAGAGACGGGCTTTCAACAGGTGTGGCTCTACTTAATGCGAAGGGTAATGACAGCGGATTCGCTTCGGTAAAATCATTATAACGCGAAGTGACTGTGTTTACAAAGAATCTCACTTTCCCTTCGCTGTCTTTTTGGAAGGGGAACTAGTTGTATTTTTTTCCTCGTTTCTTTCTAATCCAGCCATAGCTCATACATATTGAATGTTGAAAACTTAGAGCTGCGCAAAGTTTAATTAGGTTCTGGTGTCATATTTCAGCAATAACATCAATAAGTAAATAAGCAAATAAATAAATAAGTAAATAAAAAAAAGAAAGAAGGGAAGGTAAATGAAGAAGTTCCTTTCTTTCTTAAAGAAAAAAAATGGATGAGTGGGGAATTTATCAAGCTACCGCTTTTTTTCTTATAGAAAAGTACGTTTAAATTTGGAGTTTAAATGTAACATTCTTATAGGAAGCCTTAGTTAAATAAACGGAAACAAACAAAAGATGGTTCTATACCTTGAAAAAAAGTCCATTGTGTTTCTTGTCATTGTGCTATTTGAAAGTACGCAAAAATTAACAGTTTTGTTTCACTGTACAAAATACTGAAAACAAATTAAAATGTAATACCTACTTTTTATTGGGAACGTATTTGTGGAAAAATGACAAGGCATTAAAATAACGTGAACGCCGTGGTTTCAACGCTCCTCTAATGCTACAATAATTTTTATGGTTTATATCTGGTGGAAGAGCCCACATTTGTTTTCACAATGTCTTTCACAATGTTGCTGGGTTACAGCAATCACCCAATCAGTGACTCATAACAGAATAATATGTGCTTGAGCTGGAATTTGATAGACGCTGAAATGGAATGGAATTGCAGCATTTTGCAGTACTATTTTTTTCCAGACCTGTATGTTTACAAATCGATGTAAAACAGCAGCAGTGGGATTTTCCATGACTTAGTAATTATTACATCTGGATCTCTTGTTTATATGCTGATTTTTTATTTTTATTTTTTATTTATTTTTTTTTTGTTTTCCTGAAGCTTGTTCCTGTGACGGTGAAAGGACATGGTAAAGTACTGAGGAGGCAGAAAAGAGAATGGATCCTAGCTCCCAGAAACCTTACCGAGGGACAGGACTACACCACTTACGACCACATTGCTAAGGTGTGCACCTGTTTGTCCTCCCTTTTCAAAGTCTTGTTCAAAATGCTATCCCGTAAGCCACACTTCGAAATCAACACAGAACACACAAATACATACCTGAAAAACTGAGAATCTTCAGATGTGTTCAGTTGGAGACAATAAAAGATTCTCTTAAACCTTTTTTTGGAAAATTTACATTGTTTGATATAGGCTATATGGGCAATTGACCAGGGCAGCATCAGAAATGGGTGGGGCAGCCAGTTTGATACCCACGTAATAGCAAACTGAACAAGTTTTCTACTACTTGTGTACGTGTAGTTTCATACTTGTTGTTGAGTGCTGGGAAATTACATTACCTATACACAAAACAAAACAGATACTTGTATTTTAATTGGTTGGAGTGTCAGAGAAGGAGGGACTTGCCCAGAGCACCATACCTTCGAGAAACACATATGCACGCATATGTACATTTCAAGCTGACAAAGTTAGGCGTAGTGATTAATCACGATTAATCACAGTGCCAGAGGGTAATTAATCGGAAGTTTTTAATCTATTGACAGACCTATTATAAATATACAAGTTGAATTTGGACTGTAGATCTTAAACTGTGTCTAAAATTCACAACTTTTTCAGCTGTAACTTTGAGAGTCTCAGTAAAGATAATTTTAGTGTAATACTTCATGGTTCTTAAGCCCAGAAGAGACAACAAATTTAACAACAGTATCGTGTGAAAGGGTGGGGGTTTAATCGCTGCTCATATAGTATTTCATTAATATGAACATATTTTAATATAAGATTGTTTAAATAGATGAACTAGGCTAAAATAGGAGGTCTGTCCAAGTACCTCTTTGTCCTTCACTGTAAACTCACAACAACATGATATCTATAAACTAAAGGTGAGTAAACTGTTACTAATAGCTTCAGTTAAAAAAATTCAAGCTATCACTTTAATTGTTTTACAGGATTGCAAGATAATTTACTCCCCAAAAAATATTCTAAATCACAAATTGAGGTACCATGCCTTTTAAATTATATTAGAAGTACTTTATAATAATGTCTAAAAATAAAGGTGAAGGACATTCCAGTTACGAATGCTTAAAATTAGATATGCTGATTCCTGCTGTTTGAATAAGCTATGTTTCCATGTGGTTTTCATCTTTGTCTTATGCATCTGTGTTGCAGATTCGCTCAGACAAGGAGACACATCAGCAGATAACATACTCTTTAACTGGTCCTGGTGTAAATGAATACCCACAGGGCAGATTTTCTGTTGACCAGCGTACTGGCTTTGTTAGGGTCCACTCCATTCTGGACCGAGAGGAAATTGCACAGTATCGTGTAAGAGCAACTAAAAATTGTTTCGTTGTTGTTTTTGTAAATATAGTGAAAATGAATGAAATGTCAAAATACATTCTGCTTTTTTTTTCTTTTCTTTTTTTAGCTTCTTGGTGTGGCAAAATACCAAGATGGGACTCGTGCTGAGAACGACATTACTCTCGTTATTAATGTTGTGGACCGTAATGACTGCACTCCTGTCATAAAGATGGACCAAGTTGGACAAGTCAGCGAACACAGCAAACTCGGTATTAAAGATCTGCAAAACATCTTTGATCTGGGTTACAAAAAAATGCGTCAGCTGCAGTGTCATAACTATGTTGTTTATTTTGTTAGGTACTGTTGTCATGAAAGTGATAGCAACGGATGATGATGATCCGGCCACTAGCCATGCCAGGATCTTCTACAGAATAGATGAGAGCACTAATGCTGCCGGGATGTTCTCCATCAACTCCCGAACAGGAGAGGTCATTGTTGCAAAGACCACTCTAGACAGAGAGGTGAGTCACCATGCAGTTTTCATTTGAGCTTTACAAGTAAGCACAGAGTCATGACTGAGTTAAAACTTAGTTTCATTATGTTCAATGTCTTTTTTTTTCTTCCAGACCAAAAGCATACATAAGTTGACCATCCTGGCTTCTGACATGGAAGGCAGAGCAGGAGGATACACAGGGACTGGTGAAATTGAGATTCAACTCACAGACATAAATGACAATATACCAACACTGGCACAAGAAACGGTACATTTGACGCAATCAGCATACAATTATTCTGTTAAACACTGTATTGATAATGTCCCAATCTGAATGTTCTCTTTTGTTTGTTTGTTTGTTTGTTTGTTTTTCTTTTTTTTTTTTTTAGTATGAAGGTCGAGTGGAGGAGAACACAATCGGTATTGAAGTTCTAAGGATACAAGCAGTTGACCTGGATCTGGTCCAAACAGACAACTGGTGTGCTTTGTATGAAATTGTTTCCGGAAATGAGGGAGGTTACTTTGAAATCACAACTGACAAAAAGACCAACGAGGGAGTCATCAAAATCATTAAGGTCTGTTTAAATAAAATAAAAACCTTTTAATGCACATCATATTAGGCTTGTGGCACAGTTAGCACTCTTAGTGACTAACTCTTAGTCACTTGTACTATTCTTTGCTAATACATTATTCAAAATTGACCTGGTACACACTAACATTTTTGAAAATGCTGCCACATTAACAATTTAGAAGTTCTGGAAGCCTATCTAAACATTTTTTGTATGAGTGTGCATGAGTGTCTCAGCCCAAACTGAGGATAATTCTTATTAGTTGACACCATCAACACAAGACGGCAAATTAAGAGTCTCTTCCGGTCTTGCAAATATCCAAAACTCCCCAAAATGGCTTTAACCTCTCTTTCTGACAGCATCTGGATAGCGGCCAGGAATCTTAAAGCACAACATTTTGTTGCTAAATATTGAAAGCTTGCATCTCTTGCTAATCATTTGCTTATTCTCAATAGGCTTTGGACTACGAGGAAATAAAGACGTTAAGTCTCGGAATCAGGGTCAAAAATGTTGCAGAGTACAACTTCGGCAGCAGCACGGTGGTTTCAGGCGCTTCATCATCCAAGTCGTATCCCATCAAAATCAATGTTGTCAATCAGAAAGAGGGGGCTCGATTCCAGCCCACTGTAAAAGTGGTGACCGTCTCTGAGGAAATAACTACCACGTCCCTGACCCAAGTTATAGCAACGTACGCTGCTATTGACAGTGACACGCTGAAGACTGCCACAAACGTGAGGTAATGTCTCTCACATAGCAGATGTTCCTGTTTTACTGTCTTTGCACTTCAAACCAACCTGCTTGTTCACTCAATAGCAACATGGAAAAGGTTAATTATTTTTCAAACTACTTACACAAAGGTCTGACTTTGAAGTGCTGTATTTTTTGTTGTTTTTATTTTTCCTCAGTTCACATATGCTTGATCAAACTGCAGACATTCACTTATCCATTCTTTTATTCTAAGAAAATCCTAAACAGTCACTTGCTCTCCTGCCTTTTACTAATATTTCAGTGTTGTGAACAAATCTTGACATACAGAATTATTTAAAGTATTATATCACATCCCCATGTCCCTTCATTTAAAATGCTGGACATACAACATTTTTAAGACAACAATAATCTCTGTAGCATTTACCTTTCATGTGACAAAGAAGGTTATAAAATGTAGAACCTTTTATGAAGTAGGTTTTTAAGTTACTTCCTCTCAAATAACATTATAAGATCAATTGAATTTGACAGTATTGTACTAATATTACAAGATAATTCATAGTTATTGACTGTTGAGGTATTGGATCTGAATCCAAAAGCACATAATATGAATATTATGTATTGGATTGATATAAATTTAATTTAGACCCATTTTGAGTTCATATAACTGAATGTTGGTCTTGTAAAATTTCTTGAAAATAATTGGAGCTACATAAATAAACCAAAGCAATCTAAACTGAATTGTTTGCTCTTTTACTTGCAGGTATGCAAAGTTGTATGATGCGGACAACTGGTTTTCCATTGATGAGAAAACTGCAGAAATCAGGTTGAATAAATATCCTGACCGAGAGTCAATCTATTTGGTCAATGGAACATACTATGCCAAAATTATTTGCATATCTGACGGTAAGTTGTTGAAGATATGGCATTGGTTAAATTCTTGCCTGAAATCAATGTTTTGCACAGAAAAAGCATGACTTATTTCTCCTTTAACTGTGTCTTAGACATCCCTGCAAAAACTGCAACAGGAACCATTGCCATTCAGGTGGAGGACCACAACGACCATTGTCCACAACTGACCTCAACAGCTCAAACCGCGTGCTATGGTGAAAATGCAATCTATGTCACGGCAAAGGACGAAGATATGTACCCCAATGGACAACCATTTACATTTAATGTGATTGATGACAACAAAGGCAAATGGACTTTAGAGCCCTTTAATGGTATTTTTTTTCCTTGTTTGTTTTTGTTGAATAGTTTCCTTAGTTTTTACAGTATTACATAATTCCTTTTCAGGTTTGATTATCCCATAGTAGTAAATTAGATTAAATAAAACTCAAACTCAGTTTTCTTACAGCTAATGTCACCCAATGTATTTTTGTAAGATTACTAGTGAAATGTTGCAGTAACAGGAATAAAACAGGAAAAAAAAAATAGTTATCTTTCAAATAAATGTATTTTGATGCTGAAATTAAAATAGAGCCTTTTCGGTTTGGTTTTGTTAAACTAACAGTAGAAAATAAGCTTCCCCATCGGGTTACAAATCTGACAATCAGGTGTCGTCTTTCTTTAGAAACCACGGTTATTCTTCGAAACCAGGGAAAGCTGTGGCCTGGCAACTACAAAGTGACCCTGAATGTCAAGGACCAGCAAGGGAAGTCGTGCAATGATCTCCAGCAACTCGACATAACTGTGTGCACATGTGAGGGAAACACCAAGGCCTGCAATTTACGCAGCAAAAGCAATGTAAAATTTGGACCTGGCGGTATCTTGCTCTTGCTGCTGGGACTCTTGCTCCTTCTGTGTGAGTAAAGACTTTGGGATATTTACGCTTTTGGGAAATTCTGATAAGAATCTTTAAGTCACAACACAACTAACAGAACAAGTAGTTGCATGAACAGAAAGATTAAAACAAAAATAGGGTGGGTCTTAGGTGGCTTCTGAAGAGATGTGTGACTTATGCCTACATTGCACAACTATGACTCAATAAGTTGCTGTATTTTTGATTTCTTAAACCTGCTCATTGAAGAAAGGAAGTGCCTTAATCAAAATTGTTTACTAAGCACGATCACTGTTTAAACATTGTTGTCAATGTATTTTGTAGTGATTCCCCTTCTGCTGCTCTTCTGCCTGTGTGGAAATGCCGCAAGAGATTTTAAGGCTATTCCCTTCGAGGCGAACGAACATCTCATCTCATATCACACCGAGGGACAGGGGGAAGACAAGGTGCAAAAAGATTTCACCATCCAAAGGCAATGCGAGGATTTTTCGAATTGTAGAATGCATTGTCACTGACAGAGGGTTCTTTTGTTTTCTAATTCACAGGATGTTCCTCTTGTCCAAGTTCCATTGGATGTTGATGGCAGCACCATAAATACAAAGAACATCAACATGTCTGGGGGAGCTGCGTACCTTGACAATTTAGCTGGTGCTGGAATGGGTGGGGGTGGAACCCTGACAGGAGAGGAGATGTGGATGGACAACAAATACAACTACTACCATGCAAACCAAGATCAGATGGGCTTCACGGGCGCAGGGACTATGACGGGCCAAGAGATGGGTTTCATGGGCGCAGGGACTATGACGGGCCGAGAGATGGGTTTCATGGGCGCAGGGACTATGACGGGCCGAGAGATGGGTTTCATGGGCGCAGGGACTATGACGGGCCGAGAGATGAGCTTCTCCAAGCAAAGATTGACAGCCTTCGATGGAATGGCCCTGCCAGAGCATTATCTGGGGCAATACTATTCAATTGTAAGTTTGTCAACTAGGGATTGGGACACAAGCCCATGATCTAGACCCAAGTCAAACTTAACTAGCACAAACATAGGTTTAAGACTTGACTTACCCTCAGACTTGACTTGAGCACGAGCTCTAGAGCTCAGGTTTCATGAGCAATGTTTATTTAATGTAAATCATAAGTAAAGTAAAAGTAAGGTTTTAAGTGTATATAATTTCAATAATTTAAAAAAAAAACATGCCAGTAAAAACAAAACAAAAAAAATGAATAAAAGTAGTTTCCAGGTTTGTCTTATTTTAAATAATCGCTAGCAATTAACTAGCATTTACAATAAGTAAAGACTTGGTGTAGAAAGAAAAAAAAAAAAAACGTATCCAAGAACTGCTAAGGTAAACATCGCTGAGTCAGGTTTATACTCTGTGCTGAATATGAAAGCTTACAAAATCAGACACTCTTGAACAGGTCAGCGTAAAGCTCAGTCAGAGGGCAGACTACTTCAGCTTTATAGGAAGGGTGAATAAAATCATAAACACTTTACAGCTGCAGAAGTACTGAAGGTTATTACTCTAGGAAAAAGCCTTCAGTGTGCTGGCTCAGACAATTTCATCGTGTGAAGTTTTAGAAACACTGGAATAACGACATAACGTGAGTCGAAAGCTGTTAGCCTCTGATAAAATGTTCCTGAGGTGGATGTCAATATTATTAAATTATTATCCAGAGAGGGTTTAAAAGTTGAGTAATATTGTAGTAATGGTTCACAGCCGTCTATTTTTTTGGTGTGGCAACATCCTGTCTCATACAGATATCCCTCTTTGGATTATTTATAAAAAAAAGAAAAAAAAAAGACTGAACTTTACTCTTATACCTTATTTTTATTTAGCATCAATAAAAAACACGCGTCAGGTTAGAAGAACTTCTTATGTTTATTTAAAAATCCAATGTTTATTCTCATTTGTTACTTTATGCCTCACTCATTTTTTAACCATTCATTCCTTTCTTTGGAACTTGTTTACTGCTTAGATTAGACTAGAAATGCAAACATGTTTAAAGTAGTTTCCAATTAATCTACCTAAATCTCCAATTCAAAGTAAAGTAAAATATCCATTCTAATAATGTTCATTGAAGATACAACTGCAATTTTATTGAGGTAAACATTAAACCATATTCATTAAACCATTGATAAATGTTATAACTGTGGTTTTGGTTGTTCCAATTAATGTTTTGAAGAGCTGAGACTTGCCTTGGCTTTGTACGTCAGATTTGTACACCAGACTGGATTTCAGCCTGTTCCCTAAAGTCTAGATACATGATTGCATGTCAATCATATTTTTTCATCGCATTTTTTACTCAGAGGGCATTGTGGAACTGCATTTCACTCAGTCGTGTAATTGATCTAATTTACTCTCATTTGTTTGCAGAAAACAAGACAAGCTCCACAGCAATATCTGGAGAAGGACAAGGAAGTGATCTATCAATACGAGGAAGACGACTCGCAGGGAGCTTCTGTGGGATGCTGCAGCCTCCTTGAAAATGATAATGATCTTGCCTTCCTTAATGACCTGGGGCCAAAATTCAAAACCCTGGCTGAAATCTGCAATGGAAAGTCCCTGGAGAGCACTTCGGTGGATGTGGGACTTTCTAATCTCTCGAAGGAAACCGTGTTCACTGCTAGGCCATCCACCTCGACCCACACCCAGGTCCATACCCACAAAGAGGTGATTAGAGACAGAGAGCCTGTCAATGTCAACACCCTCAGTACCTTCAACAAAGCATCTGGGTCTTCTACCCTCATCCAAGAGGAGCGGATTACTGAGCACGCCAAGGCTTCGGCAACGCTTCCTAAAGTCAAAGAGACAGTCGTCATCCCTAACCAAACACTTCTCATACAGCAGCCTGCTATGTACTACGCAGCAGCTGCCCCCATGTATGTAGTTGAGTCAAATCCCCAAATGGTGCTTGTGTCAGGGGGAACTCAGCAGGTGGTTGGTCAGGTGAGTCAACCTGGGCTCAGTCAAGGATTAATACAAGTTGGAGGCCTCCCAAGTTCTCAGGGTGTGGTGCTGGTTGAAGGGCAAGTGGGAGTGAATGGAGTGTCTGGGCAGATGGCACAGGGCTCCTCACTGGGAGCCGTCTCAACTACAAACACTCAGGTGTTTGTAGTTGAGAATGGATCTTCCGGTGGAAAGCACAGCACACAATACTTGCAGAGCTCTGCTCATGTACCACAGAGGCCTTCACAGGCAGGATTTGAGGTGGGAGGAAAAGGAGTTCAGGTGAAGTCATTTTCTGCGGGCTCCCGTGGTTCTGCAGGATCAAAAGAAGACTTTACACTCGCAACCACACCCAGGCTCCAAGGAGGCCAGAGGGTTGTTGTTCAGCATAAAAAGGTCTCTGTGACTGAGAGAAATGTCGAGTCAAACACATAAATTACTGCCTTGTTTTGCTTATCGGCTGAGGTCACACATGTATATGCTTGTTAAGAAATGCACTACAGCATAGAGAGATTTGGGTAAGACTTCAAACTGCTTGGCCTTTGGCTTTATTCAAATACTGACTGCGTTTACACATGAAAACACCTAAGTGTTAAGAGTTCCATGAATGCATTAACTGACTTCTTTGATGCATAATTTTCTTCACCCCCCATTGAGTGAAAGTATGATATTATACATGCCATACAATAGCACTGAGAAGCCTATGTTTATTTTAGGTAAAGAACAAGTCAAGAAAAAAAAAAAACATTTTTAAAAAGTTTTACATTTATGACTTAATGTCTGTTGTAACAGGCAGAGTTGCATCACTTCTTATTTTATCTGAAGGTGTAATTTTCCTGGAAAAATATATATATATACATATTTTCTATATTATTAAAATGGAATAAATGCAGCTTACCAAAAACATATATATATATATTTTATTAATAATCACTGTTTTATTGTCGCTCCTTTGTATCACATGTTGGTATTTTTGCAATTATTTGTACATGGAAACTGATAAGTGCCAAAGTGTTCATCGTGTCGTCCTGTTTTTTTTTTTTTTGTTTTTGTTTTTTTTTCCAAGGCGTTGTGCTTTTTAATTAAGTATCTCGCATTTTGTTAGTTTTTTTTTTTGATAGTTTGTTTGTTTGTTTTTTTTTTTTGTATGTAACCAAGTAATTTGTATTTCCTAGAATAATATAGAATTACATTGCAAAATAGTAACTTTTGCCATGGTGATACGGTTTCTTGCTGCTGTTGCTGCTTGTATTTTTGTCTTGTTTTGTCATATGCTGATGGAATAGCCTTGGAGCTAAACTGGCCTGAAAATGAAGATTTGTTTCTGTTATTTGCACCTGATGTCAGTATAAAATCCAACAATAAAACAATACGTGTTTAGTCTAGAACTACATTTTTACTTTATCTTAGATACGAATATGCGTTTGTGTATATTTAGCTTATCTTTCATCAGTTCTTATTTTAATTCTAAAGGTGTGAGTTAATTTGGGAATTTTACTAAATCGATGGGTATGGATCACATCTGACAGAATGTTACTTTTAAAAATCTTGTTTTTAATAAAAAACATTTTTGTCAATAAGGCTTTCTCTGTCTTTTTTTATAAATTAGATTTTGATGTACTGTGATCAAACTGCAACATTTAGAGGAGTCATGCAGTTCGAGAAGAATGCTTGTAATCTATTTTCCTAAACTTTTAATGAACATCTTCCAGAATTTATTTATTTTTTTCCAATTACATTTTTCAATTAAAATGAAAATAGGAAGCTTTAAAATATTTGCATCTCTTGTCAATTTTGGAAATACTTTTGTTGCTATGTGTGCTCAAAGAATTGACTTGCAATGTTTTTTGTGTGACAAATACAGTCAGACTCTAGGGAGGGGCTGGCTAAACCCTCCTCCATTAAGCAAAGCTCACATTTCACATTCATCCAAGCAGACAGTAGCATTCTTGTGTGGAACAACAGGTTGCCTTGTGAGACAGCTCATACAAAAAGGTTCTCAGAGTAGGTTTCACAAAAAGACAAGTTAGTGCCAGATGATCTAGGTGAAGCCTGAAAGAAAACTCTTTTACCTGTTATAAGCTTTGCATGTCCAGCTTTTGTATGTATTTTTTAATCAGTTAATTCAAAATTAAAATCCAGTCAAACAACTGCTTTCTGGAGTCACACGGTTCTTAACGAACCTGTCCTGTCTGCATGTAACTAAATCTTACTTGTCTATAGATATTCTGTTAAGGCCTCACAGGTTTGTTAGAGAGCATTAGTGAATAGACAGTATACTGAAAATCAAACACCAGTGCAGACAGGCCACAGCTAAAACTGTGTGGGAAATAAACACTGGAAAAGGTTACAAAATGATATCCAAAGCTTATTTGATTATTTAATGCATAATCTGGAAATGGTGCACGTTTGCGGTATTTTGCAAATAGAAGAAGGTGAACTACCTTTGTGTCTGAATATGCAGTTAGTGAGAAGAGGAAAGTTAGTAGAGGCTAACATGAAATGAATTACAGGTGCAAAGTACTGGCTTTTTATTTATTTGTAAAATTCTTTAACACAATTTAAATTTTTCTTCCTCTTTTAAATTATGCACTTTTTTTGTGTTGGTCCAGCATAGTAAAATCCAATAAAATACAATGAAGTTTGTAGCTTATTATGTCACAAAATGTAAAAAAAAAAAAAAAAAAAAAAAATTTTATGAATTGAAAAAATTTTAAACAACCTTTTTCAAAAGGGA